GCGAAGTAAAGCTAGCCTTACGGCACCATATACAATATTACAGATTACTGATTTATCAAGTGACAGTAACTAATGACCGGGAATAAACTCTCTCTTCTTTTAAGTCATCCCCTCATGTAAAAGTATCGTCAATGACCTGTCTAGCAAAGCAGCGCTTAGTTTTTGCACAGCAATCAATGTGGCTGGTCTCCATACTACAGCAGCTGGTCTGCAGTGGTAATTCCCAGTAATCTCTTCCTTCACACCATAATTCTCAGTGATCTCTGTGAGAGTCAGGAATTCTCAGCAGATGCCCACGATCAACTGCTAGGAGATAAACAGGAGACTTTTGCAGAGAGTGGTTCTCCTTACAGAGTATGAAAGGGAATTTTATGTACGACTACATTACAGCTACCTGGAAAGAGAAATTAAGTTCAACAGCAGTGAAGCAGTTGAACTGTGCTAGAAGTTCACAGACTTTAAAGAAAAAGTTAATTTTTATTTTCTTTTACCCACAGGTCTACCCACGGATAGCGCCGGCATTTTGGCACTACCTGCGGGTAGAAGTGAGTAGCGGGTATTTGAATACTCCCACATCTTTACTTTACAACTTACTAGTATTTACTGACCTCCTAGTTTGTCCATTGTGCAAAAATAATTAGCTACCATTCTACCTGCCATTTTCTGTGAATGGAGTCTTGTACTAATTCCATATTGTTTTGACTACAGTGTAATTACTAACCCAAAACACAAAGATGTGATGTGTTTATATGCAAGGTTAAAGACAAAAACCAGAAATCTAAGTCAAGGCCATATCATACATTATGACTGTAGCACAAAATCAAAGTACAGAAGTCCATACCTGCACCTCCTTTTATAAACACATTTCACATTCATGAGAAGAATGTGGAGCTTCAGTTTTGCTGTATCATTTTTGCAAAGTTTGTACAACTCAACTTGATATCATTTCTCCCCTCTTTTGTCCCTCAGGAGCATGAGCAGCTCAGCTATTCCTCCACACGGTCCAAGGCTCCAAGTGTTATCATCACAGGTCTCAAGCCAGCCACCAAGTACATATTTCATATCAGAGTCAGGACGGCAGCAGGATACAGCGGATATAGCCAGAAGTTTGAATTTGAAACTGGAGATGAAAGTAAGTTTCACTGAAGGAAAAGAAATCAAATAAAATAGAAGTAGCGTCTAATTCTAAAACAGTGAGACATTGTGAGTTTGAATGGCTGAATCCATACCATTTGCTTATGACAAAATGACCCCTGCTGTATAATAAAAAACAAGTAAGCCTCAGCCTCACACTTCTGGATATAACAGTGAATAGTAGTTTTAGTCCAACACTTCAACTGAAGGAATGTTTTCTTCTGCAAAATTTCCTTATGGTTCCCTTCCAACTTGAGATGTTTTGTGATTCTATGATCCTATCTTTGCTTAAAGAAGGCCTTCCTTTTGACATCTAGAAATACCCTTATTCAGTCTTTATGTAAGTCCAGCAGCTTCATGCAAGCTCCCAGAAGACAGTGATGGAGTCTTTTCTCTGTAGTTTTTAGTGCTCCCAGACTCTACAAATAAAAAAAGTCAAAACTTTTATATGCATTTCTGTCAACCAATAAACCTACTAAATTTGCCAGTGAGAAGCAAAAAGCCTACATATTCCTCTAGAATATGCAAAAAGGCTTGATGCCGTGTATGATGTTCATGCTCTGAACAATTTTATATTTAAGTCATGTATTGCCCTCCATGTTCAAAGAAACTGCAAACAAGGTATTTACAAGCATTTGAGATAAAATTAGAGTAGTAGATACAACACTAAAACACTCATTAATGAAATTACTTTAATTATCCAATTATGTATACCATGTTTTTCATTAGTGTTTTAGAATTCAAGTTGCTTAAGCTAAAGTACAGACTCAAAACTATGTAAGTGTTTTCAAGAGCACCCATGGGTTTGTGTTCCGTTTTCATTGCTTCTTAACGTCTATTTCAAAAATGTTTTAGGGATAGATTTCCAAGTGCTTAATGCCTAATTGGACTTTTTAAAATTTTCTGGGTACTCAAGCCAATTGGTTTGAGTAGGCGTGGAGCACTTGGGTGCTTTCAAGAATTCCACCTTCTGATGCAACAAATACTAGGCTTTAGGCACCCAGGGACATAAGTCTTATCAAAAGTAAATGGTATTTAAACCTCTATGAGCCTACGTCATGTTTGTGAAAATGTGACTTGCCCATCTAAATCAGGAAGACTGTGGTTCCAGTGACACTTCTCTCATTGGCACTGCTGATAGAAGCATCTGGAAGTGAGATTCCACCCACTCCTTCCCAGCTTCACGTCTCTTCCTCAGTTGCACTAATGCAACTGGCCCTTGAGCTAGAGCTCACAACGCCCTTAAACATTTATTACCTCTACTACTTGTAAGCACTCAGTGTGAATCGTGATAGTGAAACATAAATACACATTATATATTTGCTGTTTACCAACATTTATTGCTTAAGCTTGTGCCTGACTAAAAGTATTTGATTTGTTATAAATATAAATCATTGTGTGATTGAAAGGAAATGTAGACAGAAGAGTTTTTGTTTATGATCAATTGAGATGGAGGTCAAGAGAAATTCTGCCACTGTTTGAAATGGTACTGGGAGCTAGATAAAGACTTCATTTTAATTAACAGGGTAGTTCAAAGGACTGTGGTCTTATTCAAATATTTATACAGTACTGCTTTAGATTTCAAAGGGAAAAAAAGTGAAGTAAGTGCCTGCTGATAAATATTACTTATTTCAGATTGAAGCAGTACTCAGTGGCCAGTCAAATGATGCCTTGTTACTCTCCAAATATCTTACTTCCTCACAGCAGTATTTTGAAAATTGGCCTATTCTAAACTTCAAGGCAATATCAGACGATCATTCATTTGTACTCCTTTCATAACATGGGCCAAATGTCTGTAACTTTTGTAGACAGCTATTGACAATAGATTGAAACGTAACATCTACCATATACAAATAGTGTTGATTTAAAGTCTTCCAGTAATGGGGAGCTCACTGTATTTATAGGTAGATAGTGCCAGTGCTTAAGCCTCATCCTTAAAAACTTGCACCTTATTTCTAGCCTGAATATTTTTATTTAGCTTGTACCTTGTGATCCTTTTCTGTCAAATTAAAAAGCCAAATACTATCAGAAATCTCTTCTTCATCTAAATGTGTGTATGCCATTTTTAAGAATTCTCTTCTTTCCTGTGAGTGATATAAATGCTCTTTCTCACTCTAAAAAAAAAAAAAAACACCCCACAGTTTTTCCAAACATTGAATCATTTTGTAGCTCTCCAAAATTTTGACATCATTTTTGAAGCATAACATCAGAGCTGAATCTGATACTGAATTAAACTGGAAAACTAAATCTGTTTATGATGCCATAAACAGACCTAATACCGCTTACCCCCTTAGAATTCAGTTTGCTTTTACTTGCAGGTCTAAGCACTTGCTGCCTGAACTAGAATTGTCTTACACAGCTGAATAACTGGAACATAGTAACATTTTTGTCAGTACCATTGTATTCCAAGATACTGACCTACATTTAGATGGAGGGATTGGGGAGGGTTGTGTTGAGACTTGGACCTCATAGTTATATCAGTACATGTAAATGTTAATTTGCCCTTGCTGGCATGCATCTGTCTTACAAACCAGTCCAAACCAAGCTGCATAGGTATCTATCTTCATAATTTACTATTCTGGCAGTATGCACCTCAGCTGAAAATTTTCTGATTTTTTAATATATATTCATGTCAATTATTCTGAAAGATACCAAATAATATTGGACCAAGGCAGACTATTGCAGCTCACTCCATCCCTACCCATTAGAAACAAGTTATTTGGTGAAAATTCCACATTTGCAATTACTTTTTGTGGTCTTTCAGTTAGCCAGATTTTAATTAATTTAATGTGAGCTAAACTGATTTTATATAAAGTTAACGTTTTCATCAGAAGGCTGGGAAGAATAGTCTTTTAAAAGTCTGTATTCTCAACAGAAAATTTATCAACCAACAATCTCACTAAAATGACAAGAAATATTTCATGTGTTTGATAAAAAACCTTCTCAGCTGACATTAGCTGGAAACATCCTTCAGCTCTACCAGTTGTACATCTTGTACTCTTAACATCTAACAAAGAATTCCAGGACCAGTTGCAGGTAAACATCCAAGGTTATTCCATTTACCCTGCTTGAATATTGACATAATTTGTTAATAAGTAGTGGAAAAGTGAGCAATCCAAAATTAGGATTTTTCTTTAAAGTGACAGACAAGTTGTGAAAAAGTAATGGTTCACCAATTTTGAGATGTGTATATCGATGTCCTAAAACATACTGTCCTTGGCAGGACAGTGCTGTCATGTCTTCTGCAGTTTACTGGTTGAAACAGTCATATAGGATAAAATTAGGTACATCCTTACTAGGAACACCAAGATGTTTTTGTATAATTATTAATGGTGGTGCATGAAGCAGCAAGAAGGCCAACTCAGGAGTAATGAAAAACCAGTTAGTTAATCATGCAATGCTGATCTGGGTTTTGGGAAGCACCCTCGCTTACTGACCAGCAGACTGAGGCAGCCATTGCTTGGGGAGCCGTTGCTTGTTGAACTCTTCGCCCTGCTGCAGAGACCAGTAGGTGGAACATCTGAAAGAGTAAAATTTGTACTTTCTTTGGGAAAGGAAATGGAGTTACCTAGAAAAGCCAGAAAAATTCTCTTCAAGGAAGCAGGGAGGGATGAATGGATGTTGTCAGGCATTTCTTCCACTGTTAAAGCTAAGAGGCTGCTGCTGGGAAATGTAATAGCTTTGCAAGGCATAGGAACTACTGCTTTTGACCATGTTACTTATTGCCATTTTATTCAGTCTTCCTGTTTCAGCACCTTACAGGCAAAAGACTTCTAGCAAAGCTGACAGCATTTCATACACTCCAGCACACACACATGTACCACTGCTGTGGCTATAATTTGAAGCATAATATCACTCGTAGTTCCTGCTTTTATCTATCAGGAGTACCAACTGTCTGAGTCACCACAAAAAACTCTGGTCCTTCGTAGGATCAAATAAAATGTATTCTGAGAATAAAACATCATTTGTCCCAGGGCAAATATGCTTTAATCTCTGTTTTCTCTCCCCCTCTCTATTTTTCTCTCTCTTTCTTCTAACTAGCTGTTTATGGAAGACTTTGTTTGTTTGTTTGTTTAAGTTAATGATTCAAAGCATTCTTTTTTTTCTGGAGGAACGTTTTTTACTATATCACCTCAGAGGCCCTTGTGCCTAGAGGAATTTGTAAAATATTGAACAATGTACAGCTGTTAGGCAATGCAGTGTTTTCATGCTGTAGCTCTCTTGTGCAGGGCTTGTTCTAAAACCAGGGGTATTTTCCATGTCAGCCTTCCCATCACAAGGGAAAAAAATATCTGAAAGGGAACTAGTCAGCTTTTTCCAGAAGGGACCTAAGTGGCAAACTAGCATGTGTGCAGTGTGGACTAGTGCTTGGTCTGAACAGGGTGATAAATGTAAGCACATGATGATTTTTAATCCAAAAGCAATGTAGACTTTTATGTGCTTCAAATAAATCATATTAACAACAAAAAAATAAAAAGTTCAGAAATGCTCATAGAATACCTGATTAGGTATTTTATAAATTTGAGGATTGTGAAAAATTAATTGGCCTGAAATCCTGATCTTGATGAAACAATAACTTTAATATCTTTACCATAGGCACAGATGGTGACTTTCTTGTATTGCCAGATCTGCTGAATTCTCACATTCTGTCTCCTCTTCCCACATACACAAAATCTATCTTTAACTTTTCAGCCTCAAATCATGCTATTTTGGATTCACCATCAGATGTGATTTAGACGCTGAGCTCCATTCTTTCCAGAACTCCACAGCTCAAGAGATGGGTCCTGAAGCATTGATTCTGATAGAGGTCCAATATTGTCTCAAGCACATGCTCTGATTCATGCCATGACAGAGAAGCTGTCCCTAGGATTTTTAGAAATACATTGAATTACCAATCCAAATGGAGATTTTTTTGTTAGAATGTTTGATGTTTTGACAATAGTAAATTAAATTTCTGGTTGAAACAAACAAATGAGATGGCTCAGATCTCATATTTAGAAACTGTCTTGCTGGATCTCCCCCCATGTCTGCCTAGTCCTACTGTTCATTCAATGGTAGTCAGCACTGGGTACCTCAGAATGGGTCTCATTTTAATCTCATTTTAATGTCTCATTTTAATGAAGTATTTCCTTACTGTGTCTTATATTTTCAGCCATTTGTTCTTCAAATTTGACTTTGGCCTCTCTGATTTCTCTACTGTATGTGCCCAGAAGTCCCAGAGACTTGACTTTTCCTCTGCATGTCCTAAACAAGAGCAACACCCTTGCTCAGATCTCAGACTGCTTGCACAGGCTTTCTATTCATCCACTGGTCACAAAACTAATGTTAGGAGCAATACTTGGAAGAAGGCTTTTCAAGTGAATGCATACCAAAAAGTTTTACATTCTTATCCTAGTGATGGCATTATTTTTTCCTTTTAAAAGTCCTTTTCAAGATTGCCTTTCCATTGCCTCCTCCCTTTCCCACATTCCCCCTTAGACTGGAGCCCATCAGCTCACTGGAGCACAGGAACGGCAGCACTTCTGAAAATGTAAAGGTTACCCTAATTAGACTTTATATTTTTCTTTCCCATTGTTCTTAAGCACTGTTGTTTACTATGCCTCGTAAATCCATCTGACAGCCAGTTCCTGTCTATTAGAGCTCCAGTTCTCACCGTCCACACTTATCTATCTTACAGCTACTCAGTATTACCTGTCTAGCTGTCTTTCTGTCACTTTTTTATCTTTCAGTCTGCTGGAAGGTCCGCAGCCTGATAGATGTCAAATTGAAATAACTAACGGATGTAGCTAAGAGACAGAAGTGAGCTGTCATTAGGACTTCCAGACCTTTTATACCAAATACACAACCTTTTAAAAGATTTTGGAGAAATTTGCTCAAAGAAAAGAAAGGAGAAGAGAGCTGCAAGATGCTCTCTCTGTCTTTCATCCTCTGGCACCATGACTACAACGTCTGTACCGTTTGTTCCAGTCTGCCCAGTGAGGAAGTAAAAAAGCCTTGGGATATTTCCCTTCAGCCCAGAGAGGAGGGAAAGTGCAGCTCCTCCTCCACACATTTGGGTGAAGAACCCAGAGAGGAGCTGAGACAGGGCATGGGTGTAAAGAGTAGATGGTGGGGACAGAACTGACACCAGGCTGAATGCAGAAGGGATTTCTGGGCATGGTGTTAAGCAAGGAAGCTGGAATGATGCAATTAGACACTTTGTCATTTCGGGCATATAACCTGAGTTAAGCATGAAGAGTAACAGGAGTGAAGAGTTTATCTGGGTAATACACTTCTGGGTACATGTATGATACATGCTGCAGTTTTAAAATCAAATCACCACTTTGACTAATCACATTAGTTGCAGCTACAATGTGTTTGAAGAGTTTTGACACCCAAACATTATATATACTATCTAATCATCTGCTGGGATAAGTAATAAATCCTCCCTTTTCCTTGGCTTATGCTACTCATTTTTGAAAGTAGGTTTTTGTCAAAATGAACTCGTTGAGCAGACTGGCAGAGGGAATGAAACATACTACGAGACAAAACAGCCAGCCCAGTTAGACAGGTACTAAGCTCCCTTATGAGTCTTAGCACTGCTAGTGGTTTACATATTCCTCTTGCTCCAGCACTTCCTCACCCCCTTGCCTATCAACTTTCACTAGCAAATGGAGTATGGCCCCATACATGATACAGCCACATCCATCCCTGTGATCACAGAGCTACTAATCATCCCTGCACTGGACGGATTTGGCTGGTGCATATTGGGAGATATGGGACCGTGCACTGGGCAGTGTAGAGACATCAAAATACCAATTTTTAGCTATATGAATGCTGGCCATGTTGTCTAACAAATGGGATTCTGGAAAAAATGCTGTGTACTTCTATGATTAAATGCAGCACTCTAATACACAAAGAGATTAAATAAGGTTGCAGGAACTTGCCTGGCTTTGCAACCTATCGTAATTGTTTTTTAAACTGAGTTTTTCTGTCTTGCATAATGCAGAATAGTCCTGAGGAGAGAAACACAGGGTCATATACCAATATGCATAGCCGATAGAGAGGAAAAATTAAGGAAGAAAAGGCAGGAAACAACAACAAAGATTCAAGAACATGCACAACAGAAACAATATATGTTAAAGCTCTTAGTATTTACAACTTGAACTTTACCTTAAGAGAAAGCTGGAGAAATGAGAAAAGAACAGAGGGATTGAGGGACATGCTGAATTTATTTCAGAATGGCAAAATGCTGTAAAAATTTTAATTATTGAGTGTCCCCGATTACTATCTTCTCACTGCTTAGATAGTGTTTTATGGAACCTTTTACCTGCACGTGAGGAGTCTGCATATGCGCATACGCATGTGCTTATATATGTGTTGTTCACTGACTGTGCCTTTATTGATTTCTAGAAGGATCACTTCAAGCAAAAATAAGTATTTCCATCATTTTGCCTCACCTGCCTCTCTGTCAGTTTTTAACAAATCCACATTTTCCAATTATACTTGTCTGTCATTTGACATTTTTATCTGACAAGTAAATTAAGGTCATCGGGAAGTTTCAGGCTTGAAAGCCCCTTATAGTGATTTGGCTACTTGAAAAAAAAATCCTAATATATTGGACTCTGGCACCTCTGCCAACACAGTAAAATACAAACAAGAGAAACAGAATGATCACTTCTAAAGTACGTACAGTCTCAGCTAAAAATCGTATTGCTTACAGGTAGAAAGAACTAAGTCAGTCTGGAATTTCTCCCCTTCATGATTTTGACTCTGGCTCCTGATAGAAAATATATGTTATTAAACCAATAGATTGCATTCTGTTTGAGCTAAACCACCAAGAAATAGCAGCTCCCTTCAGCAGAAGTGATCCAGGACACGACTTCCTTCATCTTGACAGCTGCAGAGTGCTGCTTTGGACTATGGAATCAGTCGCTACTTTTGCACCTTTAATTCTCATGAATAAAGGCCCTGGGTTGCCTCTTTGTAATGAATGTCTCCTGAAGAAAACCACAGCTAATTTATCTGAGGCCATGGT